GAGTAATAATTGTTTAAGAGAGTCCTCCCTCGGCGCATACCTGCTCAACTTTTTCTTTTGTGTATATAGACAAGGATAATCATAAGAAGGTTGTCGATTTAATTTTGGATTGCTTAACATATACGGATAGAAAAAAAATGCGAAGGAGCATTTTCAAGAGGCTTCTGAATTTTCAAACATGATAACATTTGAAAAACGAGTTAAGCCAATTCAACTTCAACAAGTGTGATTATCGAAGACCATTTTTAATGCTACCATATGCTCTACACTAAGGGTTTAAGCGCCTCTTTTATCAATAATAATGCTACACCAAATCAACCTCCACCTTGCCAAAATCAACCTCCACCTTGTCAATAATAATGCTACAACACTGACAAATCTCTGAACTCTCCGATGCGAAAGTTGGCAAAGAACTTTCAGTGAATTGCATAGTAATAGTTGTCTAAGAGTGTCCTCCCTTGGCACATAATTGTCAATTCAGTTTTGGAAACAGTCCCCGGTTTGGTTGGGGACTAGCAGCGATTGTGGCACTTCGATGTGCATGGGGGATAGCGATGCACCGGTAGATACTTTTGAGCAACTCATTGTCTATATGAAGGGAAGGTGGTCTTACTTGCTGTTTGTCAAAAATGTATACATGGTTATCATGGGTCTTATCTTTCCACTACATTGTTACTATGCTATAGTGATAGTGCAATATTTATGCAGTTCAGTTTGAGTATGCAAAGAGGCATTGATCAACTAATTGACTTTGTTACTGCCATGGAATGATCCCCAGCTATTTAAAGGTCTTGCAGAGCATCTTTGGAGGAGTTTGCTCTCAAGTAGAGCGGATGCGGAGGAGCACTTTCAAGAGGCTTTTTAGTTTCAAACGTGATAGCATTAGAAAAACTAGTCAGGTCGATTCAACTTCAACAAGTGCGATCGAGGATCATTTGTCACGCTAGCATTTTGGCTCTAGAACACGGCATGATCGATCATGTTGTAGACACTAATGTCGAATAACCATCCAGGAATATAGCACCGATCATCATATTTGAAGAAGCCTTTTATTTGACTTACTCATCAACTCCAAACACTTATAGGCATGATGTAGACAATCATCCACATTCTGTTAGCACAACTAGCAATAGCACAAAACTCGCTCGAGGCCAACTACTAACTGTCACTCTTGCTATGCTTTTGTTTTACGTATCACTTGATTTTAGATAGTCATTTATATTTGGACTCATTGTTACTTCCTTATCCGTTTGATTATATACTTCGATATCAGTATGTTCTTCAAGTAGTTTCGCCTTGATTAATCGAAAGATAAGCTATAACTATCTCACATAACCTCTACCATCATATTATGGGACTCGTGTCAAATATATTCTCTGCATACACCATTGATATTAATGTTCGCTACATCAATCTTATTTTTTAACTATGTCAAGGCTCACTCGAGCAAAATACGAGCTTTAGGATTTTTTTTAAATCATAATTTCTTTTTTAAATCAAGAAGAAAAAAAAAGAATAATTTTGATATAAATAAATCAAATTGATCTTGGTTCTCTGGATTTAAAATAATAATAATGATTTTATAATTCAAAATATAATAAAAGTTAGTATATATTCCAAACACACTAGTTTAGATAGAATAAATTATATAGAATGCACAACAATTTAAATTGCATAAACTACCCATAATTAATTCATACAAAATTTTGAAAGGAAAGAAAAACCAAAAGAACACCATTCTAACACCAATAAAACTAAAAACGAAATATCATGCCACATATATGAACATAATTTTAGAAAATTCAAATTAAAGCATTTTTATTTATTTTTGGAAGCTTTATAAGTTACTTTGTGCTAAGTACATTTTGCTAATTTACCAAGTAATCAATGCCCTGCTCACACAAGACAAAAATATTTATAACAAATATAACAAGACTTGGACGATACCAACTCAAGACAGACTTGGAGTCAACCAAAGAGGAGGCGGCCAATAGTGATATCCAAGATGATCTATCGGTCGCGTCATCTCATCCTCCAAGTAGAATATTCCGATATTACGTCTCGTAGACCTATAGGATCCACAGATATCCAACATATCATCAGTATAGTAGATACAGTTTTGTTTCAACTCTGGAAAGTTTATAGTAGAGAGGCACATTGGCTGATTTGTGCCTATGAACAACGTTTGTTCATGTAAATTCTTCACTATTTTCCACTTACAAGTCTGCTCATCTAGGGAAAACACCGTACACATAATGTTCTTAGGGTTGTCCGTAGAACCCCATTTTTTTTGGTTCTTATGTACCAACATCAAATTACCATCTAGGGACTCACCCAAGTAATATATGCCCCTTAGCAAAACATCCGGAGGCAAGTCTAAGTTGATGATGCTGAAGACAAGTTCATCGGCCTCCCATACCTCGATCATCTGGCGATAATTGATAGTGTAGAATTTGGCGTTGCGATAAATTATGTCGGAGTAATAATAAGGCGAGCTTATAGGTGTCCAAGCCTTATCCCCAGCTCGGGCAAATGCTAGCTTACACCAATGGCTATAGATCATCATGATGGTGAAGTCATTGTCTGCATCAGGAGCTTTAGAGATGACGACCTTGCGGATGAACTTGAGCCATAAAGAGTACTGGTTATGATCTTGTTCCACGTTGAAGTTGGTGATTTGTCCTTCTAAATTATAATTGTCTCTGATAAAGGGTAAGGTTAGCACCGAAGGGAGTGGGATTTGAGCGCCAGTGAGTGGATTCAAAAGGTGCATGTTGCAGCGTCCATCCAAAGTGGCCAGCCAACCATGACAAGAACCGACATAGATCCTTTTACCGATCATAGGTTCCGGGCATTGAATCTTATAAATTTTCTTCTCGACAATAGAGAAGAACTTGGCCGTGGAATTGTCATCACCGGAGAACATGAGCCATGGGGCTTGTAGCCTTAGACGGCGATGGTCCTCGAACTTGCTGACCAAGTTCCATTGTTTACAAACGGCTCTGAAACGTACGTAATCAGAAATCAAGAGTTCACCATGAATCATACCCAAGACGTTCACCGTAAGTTCTGACCAATTCATCATAAAAAACGAAGAAAGCGTAGATAAGTCTTTTCCACCCGATTCTTCGATCTATCACTATATCAAAGCTGCTTTACAATTTAAGATAAAAAAAAATTTTATTTCAACAGTGATTTTTGGTACGTATCTCCTAAATTAAATTTCAAAAATATAAATATCCATAATCAAGCTTTATCTAAAATAAATGAGTAATCTTAGGGTAATACAAACATTAACCACAACAACATAGTTCAAACATTATAAGAGGCAAATGAGAGAATCATTTAGCCATCACATCTAATAGCTCATTAATTATTGAAAACAATCAGCGAACTAATATCAATATATTTGCCTTTAATAAAGAAAAAAATCTGATATATTATTTAAAATCTGAGACATCCATAATATATATATATACACAATAAAAATAAAAATAAATCAGGATATATGATATGAGAGACAATCCAATGATGGATGTGATCCATAATTAGCCCTTAGTTATTTTCACAAGTATTTTTAACTTGGATTGCTCAACATATAGCTCGTACATATGGTAAAAATCATATTAGAAATACACATTTTAATAATAACCTCGATCTCAATTAATGAATAATTATATAAATTAATTAATCTAAAATTTATCACCATAAGAATTAGGTTAGATCCTTCAAATTTGCTAAACGAAGAGATAGAGGGGTATAGAGTTGACGAGGCCTAAGATTGTCTTGAACCCTTGTTGCACCTCAGTCGACCTAATTTCTAGGGGAACTATGTTGGTTTCAAGATCAATTGGTCTATATTATTAAAAAAAATTGATTAAATAGCTTGAATCAACTCATCCCAATTGGATGAAAAAAAATAATTAAATAGCTTGGATCCAACCCATCACAATTTCTCTCCGAGCCAACTGATTTGATTGGGTTCAAATCAGGCAAGACTATGATTGTCTCGTACCAAATAGTCACCCCTTCTCCAAAATATCATAATTTAAATCTGATTTTTTAAAAAATAGAAAACCAAATAATTTTTCATACTAAATTATTTAATTTATTACATGAAGATATGATTTTTATTAAAGATGGTTTATGATTTTTTAAAATATTATACAAAAGTCAAAATAAATAAAATTAACATTAACAATAGTGAAATCTATATACACCAATCATCTTTTTTGAAAAAAATAATTAATAAATATAAATTTTATGAAATATTTAAAAATTAAAATCTCAATCAATTATATTAAAACTTAAACTTAAAGAAAAAAAATTAAAAAAAAAACTAACAATATCCTAGAGGCAATGATCGTTGTTGACTCCTCCGTTGTAATATATTGTCTATAATCTCCTAAAGGCAATAGCCATTCTTGACTCTTTTGTCGCAATCGAAATCCTACAATCTCTTAAAGGCGATTACCTCCGTTGGTTCCTCCCTTTTCATCAATGAAATGGGAGGAGATTTATACAGAAGATGAGAAGAATCCTTACTAGTTTGAGGAGATTTATTCCATATTTTATTATATATTAATATAAAATAAAATAAAATTTTCTTATTATGATATTTAAAAATAGGAAATAAATACCAAATGATAATAGACATTCTATATTAGAATATGAAAATTTAGAAAATAATGATAATGTGATGTGTACCATTTATGATTTTTTAATTTGGGAGAAAAATTGAGATGAGTATATTTAATCTCCCACTTGGAATTTAGTCTCAAATTCAATTTACCTTATTAAAAAATATTGATACGTCTCTTTAACATCCTCTCTCTCTCTCTCTCTCTCTCTCT